TTCCTTCCTTCCTTCCTTCCTTCCTTCCTTCCTTCCTTCCTTCCTTCCTTCCTTCCTTCCTTCCTTCCTCGGCAGCTTTAGCTTTCACCTCAGTGAAAAAACAACGTTCATAATTTATCCCAAGGTCTATTTGAGTCTTATCCCTCTTGGATCTTGGAATTTCCTTCTTTATTTTCACCCTTTGAAGGTATTACTGGCATCTTAGCCACATCGCTTATTTCCTTGTTTACCCCCTGCTCACATGTGCAGTATCGTACGTCCTTAGTTACCTTATCATGACTATACACTGCTGCTTTATTTACCAACATATTTGGCAGAGATAAAGCGTAAAACACAAAAATAAACACTACGGCAGCAGGATGGAGTATGCAATGCAAACACAGTGAGCTTTAGGCATGTAAATTTTTTAAATGGCATATATGATTATACAGCATTAAGGCTTTTGCAGCAACCATCTTGGTGTCCTCCAGGTTTGCCTTGCATGAATCTCCATCTATCTTCCATCAGCAGACCAGCTGTTGCATCTAACAAAAAGTATTCCTACAGCCTACATCATGTTTCACTCTGGGGATAGTGTATTAATGGTAACATACAATGCTGCTGTATTGAACAATTTCAGAAAAGGCTAACTTTGTTCTCTGAACAAAACATCCTCTTCCACAGGTATCCTTAGGTTACAAATTGAGTGGCAATTGTTGGCACTGGATTTGATTTGAAAATTTTCAAAGCAACGTATGTCTTTGTTACTGTCTCTCATGAAATAACAAAAACATACATTATATTTAATGGTTCAAACGAGACAACATTTGCAAACTAATGCATTTTTCCAGCTAAAACCAAACTTGTGTATGTGGGAATAGAGGAATAAATATTCCTTTTCACTTAAATCTCTCTAGAAAAATAAAAAAGCAATTTCTTTTATCTTTTCAAATTGTGCGGCTGTAATGCAATAACACATTTTCTACTTACAGCAGGATTTTTTTCTTCCACCCTTTCAGCTACAATATGCTTGCTTGACTTCTATTTTTGTGTAAAGACAGCAGTTCATCAGAAAACTTAAAATGTGCTCGTAATTCAATTCAAGCGCCGTCACACGGCGAGCAAAGGGGGAAAATGAAACCTGAGGAAAAGCGGGAAAGAAAAGGAGAGAGGTTGCAGTTATTACGTCTTCCTATGAATTACTTGTCATATTCTCATTGTGTCAGTCTGTGTAGAGAAACCCGATGCCATATTGCATTTGAGACAGTGATGATGTTTTGATAGAATGAAACAGGAACTTCAAACACTGGAAGATTTTTTTAAGGCAATAAGATGAAAAGTAAAAAAAAATTTAAAAAGGCAGCAGCTCTGGTGCCACAGTGTTTGAGGTGAATGCTGAGGTTACTGTGACAATTGGGGGAATTTACAAAGCAATGCAAACTGCTTCCTTTTCTGCATGATTGCATGCTTTCTCTAGCCTGACGTAGTCCGACTCAATTCTAGTCAGAATATGAGTCTGAT